CAGCGAGGAAGAGGAGGAGGAGGAGGAAGAGGAGGAGGAGGAGGGAGGAGGGGGGAGCAGATGGCGGGGAGAGGGGAGGGAGGGGGCCCACCTTGTGCTGCCCCTCCTGGGGTTCGACAGGGCGCTGCATGGGGGGCGTCTGAGAGGACGAGGCGAGGGCCCCCGACTCGGCACAGGGCTGGGGGCCGACGTCTTGCCCGGGGGCCCCCAGCTTGGTCTTGGCTGCCAGCGAAGGGGAGCTCTCCTTGCTCAGCCGCTCCTCCACCTGGGGGCGAGACTGAGCTGGCCCAGTGCCCCTCTGCGGCCCCCTCCTCTGCCCCCCCTCCCTCCCTGCCAAGGGGGGTACCTCCCGGGCCCAGGGGGGCTTCTCGGGGGCGGCCGCGCTGCTGCGGCTGTGGTGGTAGAGGGGCTTCGGCTGCTGGGGCTGCGGCTGCTGCTGCTGCTGCTGCTGCTGGAGGGACTTGAGGTAGGCGTGCTCCTGCTGGAGCTGCCTCTGGAGCCGCTCCGACTGCCGCTGCTCCTCCAGCTGCTTCCGCTTGTACTCCTGCAGGGACGACCAGGGGAGGCTCTGCCGGGACTGTGGGGGGGAGGGGGAGGGTAGCAGCCCCTGCCCAGCAGGCCGACCCACCCCCCTGCCTCCCCCTCCGGCCTTACCAGCAGCAGGGCCTGTTCCTGCAGGAGCTGCTGCTGCAGGATCTCCAGCTGCCTCTGCTCCTCCTCCAGCTTGTGCCTGATGTACTCCTGGGGGGAGGGGAGCCGGTCAGGGAGGGGCACCAGCAGAGCAAAACTCCCCCCTGTGCCTCAACAAGGGAAGAAGTCCCCACCTCCTCCCAGCCCACCTGCTCCCGCTCCGCCTGCCGCCGCTCCTCCTCTCGGCGCATCACTTGCAGGTCCTCCAGGCGCCGCTGGTGCTCCTTGCCCTGAAGCTTCCGCTGCTCTCGCTCTCGGCGCTGCTGCTGTGGACGGAGGGAGGGGGGGAGCGGGTGGGTAAGTGGGCGCAGGGGGCCTGGCGGGCTCTCGATGCCACCGGGGCCAACCATGAAACAGCGGGGGGAGGGGAGAGCCTCTGGCGCACCTCTTCCACTCGCCGGCGCTCTTCCTTCTGCTCCTCGATGCGGCGCTGGCGCTGGTGCAGCAGGTGTTTGATATGGGCCTCGGAGTCACGGTGCTGGGCGGCCAGTTGCTGCTGCAGCTTCAGAGCCTCCGAGTTGCTCTTGTTCTCCTGCTGCAGGCGGAGGAACTCCCTCCGCAGGGTGGACTCCCCGGGGACATTCATGATGGAGCTGGGCGGCGGGAAGGTTGTAGAGTGGGGCTCATCTGGCTGCCCAGAGGCACGTCGGGGGCTCCTTCCCCAGGGAGGGTCAGAAAGAGCGGACCCCACCCCTCTGCCCTCCGTACCTCGGCTCTCCTTCCTCACCGCGCCCATCGTCCTCTTCCTCACTGCCGCTGTACTCATACTCCGTCTCGTCTGCCGGAGGGAATAGCAAGAGGTGTCCCGGTGCAGGTCCAGATACCCCTCACCCCGCCTGCCTGTCCGGGAGCCAGACCCCCCCACCCCACTTACCCTTCTCCCCTCTCTTCTTGCGGGTGCGGTCGATGTGGTCCTTGAGCTGGATGCGGACCTGCCGCTCAGTGGGCTGGTCGCGGATGAAGGGGAACTTGAGCAGCTGCTCAGTGGGGGGGCGGTTGGGGTAGGCTTTGATCAGGCAGTTGTCAATGAAGTCGATGAACTTCTTGGACCTGCCCCAGAGCGGGAGGAACGGGCTGCGGTTATACACTGCTCCCCAGCCCCCACGCCCCGAGGGGCAAGGGAGGCCGGCACCCGTAAGCCCAACTCGGCCGTTCCCAGAGCTGGAGGGCTCTCCGTCCGGCATGGTGGTCACGGCCAGACCCTTGTGGCCTTCCCCTCCTTGCATCCTCCCCCACCCCCTCCGGAGGGAAGGAAACCGGGGGCTTCCGTCTTGGACAAGACCAAGGATTCCCATCCCTCACTGCCTCCTCGCTGCCCACAGGGAAGACGTACCATTTCTTGGACTTCAGCTTGGGCGGAGGATTGCGCGGGATGAGGAAGAGAGCACGCATGGGGTGCATGTCACACAGGGCTGCAAGAGGAGGAGAGGTGAGCAGAGCCAGGGTTGACGGGCCCCATCCCTCCCTGGAAAAGCCAGGGCCCCGATATGTTGACGCAGACACTCACGAGGAGCTCCTTCGGCCATCTCAATGGCCGTGATCCCCAGGGACCAGATGTCGCTCTGCAGAGAGGGAGGAGGAGGGAGAGAGAGGGTGTCAGATCTACTCCAATTTGCTTCTGTATTTACGAGAGACCCTCGACTCCACTTGTACTGAAAAGTGTACTTTAAGCCAAGCGGATGACAGTAGAGCAAAACCAGAACTGAAGTTCACGCGCCAAACTTCCCTGGTTTCCCTGTAGAGCCCCTCTCCTCCTCCCTGGTCCTTTGTCCTCCAATTATATTTGAACCAATTGCTGAGGGGCTGGTTGGCTGATGCAAGCTTTGATCTCGAGGTGGTGCGTCTGGACTGTACAGTGAGTCTGCAGCCTTCCCCCTCCCCCCCCCGACCAGCCAGATCCCTCCCTCCCCCCCNCAGTCAGCTGGTCTTCTTAGGTGCCGGAGCACCGGAAAACAGCCTGAAAATTGCTGTCTTCAGGCTGGTTTGTTGGCCGGTTTTTCAAAATAAACAGCCAGGCCAAAAACAGCCCCAAAACAGCTGGAAAATGGCCCAAAAAACGGCCTGGAAAATAGCCTGGAAAACGTCCAAAAAAACAGGCTGTTTTTCAAGCTGTTTTCAGTCCGTTTTTCAAACAAAAACCAGCCAGGCCAAAAACAGGCCAAAAAACAGCTGGAAAACAGCCTGGAAAACAGCCTGAAAATGGCCCGGAAAATGTCCAAAAAAACAGGCTGTTTTTCAAAAACGGCCCAGAAAATTGCCTATAAACAGCCTGGAAAATTGCCTGGAAAACAGCCAACATATAGGCATGTGCGCACCCAGCAGCTGGTCTTGGGGTTTCCGGAGCTCCGTGGCACATACATGCACACACGTTCCAGTTTGGGAACTCGGTTCCGAAAAGGTTCCCCATCCCTGACATAGAGAGTCCAGGTGTATTCTGCGCTTCAGCCCTCCCAGCTGAGATGGTTGCTCTCCAACATCATTAAAACTAACAAGGATAGCTAGGAAAGGAGCAACCTACAACGGGGTGGAGGTGAAATAATCTCTTACTCCACTAATGCCTCCATCAGGACCCCAGGCCAAATGGCAGAGTCAGTTTTTAAGACCATCCCCTAAAAGGCCAATAGGCCGGGGTCAGATCTCACCTCAAGGGGCATTCCCAATACCGTTTTTCGAAATAACTATTGGGATACATTACCTATGGTGCAGATAATGAAATACACGTTGGAAGAGGAGGTTTGCACATCAAACCTGTTGCAGTACGCCACCAGGAGACCTTAAAAAACAACAACACAAAAACATCCAAAATGAAGACGGGTCAGAGAGATTTTTGTCAGGAAGAAAATGACGTCATCAAAACAACAGGACCACACTCGTGAAATTAACACCACAACTGAGCCCAGAACTGATGTTGTTAAATGAGGAAATTTGCTAAGTGAGTTTTTCCCCCATTTTACACCTTTTCTGGCCACATTTGTTAAGTGAATCACGGAGGTTTAGGAGAGCTGTAAGTTACATTATCCACTCTCAACTTTTTTCCCTCCCTCCCTAATTTTAACCTGGGGTCTATAAGTGCTTATAAATAACCTTGGACTAAGCAATAACTTTGTATGTAGATTTTGGGAGGGGGGAACTAAATAGCACTGGCCTCTATTTCTTTTTTTTTTTTTTCAGTTTTCCCCTGATTTTTTTGCCTTTTCTGCCTTTCGTTAGGAAATAAATATATCAACTTAAACTTGGAGATCTGACTGCAAATTATTGTTCTGGCAGTGGGGCCCACAGAATTCTATGGATTGCATTTAGCTATATTAGAATTTACTCTGCAGATTCTCTGTTACAATAATTTTTATACTCGATGAGGAAAAAAGCAGTCAAACCAGAAGAGTAAACTCGGCCTCTCTTTTCCGTGCAATATACATGTATAAGGTGTGTCCGTGCGAACAAAATGGCTTAGAAACCAGTAAACTTGCTATAGGTAAAGATAAAGTATATATGTGCTAGTCGTTTCTGACTCTAGGGGGCGGTGCTCATCTGTTTCAAAGCTGAAGAGCCAGCGCTCTCCAAAGACGTCTTCATGGTCATGTGGCCGGCATGACTAAATGCCGAAGGCACACGGAACACTGATACCTTCTCACCAAAGGTGGTTCCTATTTTTTCTACTTGCATTTTTACATGCTTTCGAACTGCTAGGTTGGCAGAAGCTGGGACAAGTAACAGGAGCTCACTCCGTTACGCANCCCACCACTGATTTGAGTCCAGGGTTTCTGTTTCTAAGCACATTTGTTAAGCAAATCACAAAAAAAAAATGTGACCATTCCCCCCCCCCCCTCGTGGTTGTTAAGCAAGTTACTGCACTTGTTAAGTGAATCATGTGGTCATTAACAAATCCAAGTTTGCCCACTGCCTTTTCTTGCCAGATGTGGGCTGTAAAGATCACAACCGGTGATCACAAGATCCTGGGATGCTTCAACCATGATAAATACATGCCAGTTGTCAAGTGTCAGGATTTCTGATCATGTGGTTGTGGAGATGTTGTGATGGTTATAAGTGGGAGGACCTGTTGTAAGTCAACTCCAAATGGTCGTTAAAACGAATATTTTCAAGCGAAGGGACTACCCGCTTAGTCTTTATACTCTACACAGGGAATGGATGAAATAAAAAAGTTGGGCTTGTAGACTTGAAACTTTCACTGTATTGAGGGCATATTTTTCATTAGAACACTAAAAGACCAAAAATTGAGCCCGCTCTGCATGATGACAAGAATTGTTATAAAACCTGCATACTTACTTTTGTAATGTAAGGTGTGATGAAGACAAAAAACACATCATATACAAGAAGGAGACCTAGAAGAATCACACATGACTAGAGAACAAAGAACAGATGTTTATTTTTTTAAACCAAGCAAAACAAAATGTATGCAAAAACCTTGCAAACTTAAAAGACATTTATTCCACATTTGGGATTCTTTTCCCAATTCATTGGTCTTTCTAGAAATGGCCATAAACAGCTGCAGGCATACAAATTCTTTGGTCACAGAATAAACAGACTACGATCAAGGGTATCTTGTTCAATGTATTCAATGAGTTAACTTTAAGTACAATTTACTCTAGATGTAGCCCAAAGATTGTGTTTCAGTAAAAAAAAGAAAAAAACCAACTAGAAAACAGATTAGATAGCCAGTTGATTTTTAGAAAAAGAACGTTTCGGCGAGCCAAAATCACCAGCTTGAGGATGGCAAGTGAGACCTCGCCNTCAACCCTGAGCCGGTGAGATTTGAACCGCTGACCTGCTGATCTAGCAGTAGCCTGCAGTGCTGCATTTAACCACTGCGCCACCTTGGCTCTTACATAACAATAGCACTTAGTCTTATATACCGCTTCACAGTGCTTTTACAGCCCTCTCTAAGCGGTTTAGAGAGTCAGCATATTGCCCCCAACAACCTGGGTCCTCATTTTACCCACCTCGGAAGGATGGAAGGCCGAGTCAACCTTGAGCTGGTCAGGATCGAACTGCTGGTGGTAGGCAGAGTTAGCTTGCAATAGCCATAGCGCTTAGCCTTTTATACCATTTCATAGTGCTTTTACATAGCAATAGCACTTAGTCTTATATACCGCTTCACAGTACTTTTACAGCCCTCCCCAAGCAGTTTACAGAGTCGGCCTATTGTCCCCCAACAATCTGGGTCCTCATTTTACTGACCTCGGAAGGATGGAAGGCAGAGTCAACACACAGTCCCTTACCTGGAACGACAATATCACCAAATCCAAGTAATGAAAATGGCCTCAAACACAACACTGTTGGTGACAAGTCCAATCTGGGCACCTTGAAGACCACGGGCAACTGAAAAACAGTTGTTGTTGGTTAAAAACAAAAGAACCCTGTAAGGCCAATCCAAAGCATGTTTCACGAAAAGTAAGAATTGAATCGGAAACATCTCCTCATCTAGTTTACCCAGAAAAAGGGTTAACGTTCAGAAAACAGCAAATCAAGAAGCAGAGTGCACAAAAGAAGTATGATCAAACACAAACGCCACACAGCAAACATCTGTATTTAGCAGACAGACACCATTGACAAATGATTGGATAAAATGAAGAACCCCAGGAAATGAGAGGAAAAAAGACTTTTAGCCTGATCAGAATTGATTGGGCAACACTTAAGATCTCAATCTTGAGGAAAGTAACGTGGAGAAGACAGAGAATCAGATGTGGGGGGTTTTTCCCCCCTGCCCCAAAGGAATATTGATTTATTTTATTTTATTTTTTGGGGGAAAGTAGGCCATTGACAATCCATGGAATGTATCTTAAACACAATCCTTACTTTCTCGTGAGGAGCTGATTGTTCAGCAGAGGCATCCATCAAGTTTCCATCACTCTAGGATCAAACCCAAGTCAACAAGCATTTAATACTTGGAAGAAAAAAGATTTAAAAAACGGCTAAGCAGTTTATATTGGGATATTCAGGGCAATAACCCAGCATACTTTTTACACTGAGGAGGAAAAAGACTACTCCTGCGTTCGCTTTCTCTCTCTCCCCCAAAAGTTTAAGGTAATGTTTCTCAACCTTGGCAACTTGGAAATGGGTGGACTTCAACTCCCAGAATTCCCCAGCTAACATGCGTTAAGATGGGTGGCCTTCAACACCCAGAATTGCTCAGCCAGAAATTCTGGAAGTTGAAGTCCGCGCATTTTCAGGTGGCCAAGGTTGAAAAACACTGCTTTAAGAGGTCTTATTTATGCATATTTATGTAAAACAAGTGCAATATTTATAATGTAACTCAACGTGCGCAAACAGAAGCTAGTTTTTTCCCCCAAAAGATTTAATATGCCTACCTTTTCACTGCTGTCAAGAGGACCAAGTGCCACTTCAACCATAATACTTTCTCCACTCTGAAAGTTTGGGGGGAAAAAAAAGAATATGGATGCTGAAGCAGTCATTCTGGAAATATTTAAAATGTCAGGCATTTAAAAATGAATGCATTTTTTTTTTCAGGACATGTTTGGCCAGGACACTCCCCGGCAAACGTCCTATCAAACGGAATGAATTAGGAACCAGGATGGCTCATAATCCAATAAAGATAAACATGAGATGAGGACACGTTAAAAAAAAGCAGCAAAATCAGAGCAAACTTGATAACCCAGCTGGTTCTATGTGATTTGCGGGAAATGCCAGTATAATGCAAGTATATTTCACAAACTTATTAGAAACAACAAGCATCAAGCCGGGCGGATTTAATGCCATTTCCACCAGGTCAGGAAACTTAAAACACATTAAAAAAAACACTGAAAAGCACATGAAGCCTAAGCACATATTTCAAAATAAAATAAACAGAATATTTAAAAAAAGAGTAGATATGCAATTTTTAATATAATAAATGAAATAAATAATGGAACTTTAGCCTCTATGTTTTGAGAACTGGACTATTGGTCCTGAAATAAATGGTTTGGAATATCTAAAAGTCCCGGAATTAAGAATCTGATATCTTATGTGGTTCACTTTATCTAGACCTTATTCTAATTTAATGGAATCACAGTGCCACACAAAGGCAACTGGTGGCATTGAACAACATCCCATGTTCTAAAGCTAGTCCTTGATTTGAGTCAGTGGTGGGATTCAAATAATTTACTAACCGGTTCTCTGTCCTAATGACCAGGTGGGTAGGCAGGGCTTA